GCTGTACTTGGACAGGGAACATTCCCTTAAAATATCAGGTCCTATCTTTCTCAGTTCTCGAATTATGATATTCTCGCGAAAGACTTTCACGGGACCGTACGTGAGGAACACGCATGCCGGGGGCTGAATTTGATAACTTTAAATTGTACATGTACTGGAAACATTCTCTGAAAATTTCAGCCTCCCAGCTTTCCTGGTTCTCGAATTAGCCATTTTCCTGCCAAAAATTTCCACGAGATCGTACGTGGGAGCCACGCGTGTCGGGGGGCTGAATTTGATAAATTTTAGTTGTATATGAACTGGGAACATTCCCTTAAGATTTCAGCTTTCTAGCTTTACTGGATTCCAGGTCACCGATTTTCCGCCAGGAACCTTCACGGGGCCGTGCGTGATAACGACGCATGTCTGGAGGCTGAACTTGAAATCTTTGTGTTCTATGTAGACGGGGAACATAACTGCAAAGTTTCAGCTTTCTAGCTTTTCTGGCTCGTGAGTTAGCGATTTTCCCACCAAAACTTTGAGGGACTCGTACGCGGGACCGAGACGTGCGTGAGGGCCGGTATATATGTATATATATATTTATTCCGGCCCTCACGCACGTATATATACATATATATATAATATATAAATGTGCATATATAATATATATACATGTATATATATGTATATATATGTATATATATATATATATATATATATATATACAAATAAATTTTGTCCATGCATCCCTATAATGCAGCACCTTAATCCCAATCGATGCGCTTTCTCCTGCATGCCGAAAGAGGCCAGAGCGCGGCCAATATGTGCTCAGGTGTTAGGTTATAGCGCTGGAATCATTTCTGCTATTAGCCATCTGCAAGTTTAATGCAAAAACGCATAACTAGCTACAAACTCGTGTGACCACCCCGGACTAGATTGTAAATAACATTTTTTTTTCTTTTTTTGGAATTGGCTTTCATAACGGGTGTTGTGCTGAGCCGACCAGTTGCGCCAGGAACACATGGTAGTAGGAAGTAAGAATGATGTATTACATCATGGGAGGCCCTCTATGCGAAATGTTTAAATTAAAATCAACTGTTTAATTACTTTTTTCCTGAACATTTTCCCCACTTCCAAACAAACTTCAATACTGTGTCTTGCACAATATAAGCTCAAATTCCTGCAGCTTTCAAGTGTTTTATAATTG